TGTGTGTGTGTGTGTGTGTGTGTGTGTGTGTGTGTGTGTGTTTGCGTGTATGTGTGCGTGTGCGTGTATGTGTGCGTGCGTTGTTTCATGAAAACTCCTACGCATTCTCCTACTAGGTACGGCGGACGTTGCGACGTCACTGGCTACGTCACAGGCTCGGCAGCTCGGTCGGAAACCGATCCCGGAGGTTCAGCCGGACATCCACCGTATGGAACTCCACAGTCACTGAGGTATCGAACCATGCACCCAGCCGTATCGACTTGCTCTCTCATGCGTGTGTGTATCGAACCGCTTACCCCGTGCATCCACGCGCATCGAACAGAACGTCGCGATACGGTTAGACTGACACCCGACTCTCCCCCATTACATACCCTACACTGATTCTCATTGACAACTTGCTTTTCTCCGAGTCAGTCTACGATAGCAGGCTGATGTCGCCTGTGATATAATCAGCAATGCACGTCTAGTTGGACTGACTGCACAGGTCGGTGCGAATCAACGTCAACGAGGAACATCCTATAAAACCTCCTATCTGTCCGAGGCAGCAATAACTAGCTTATATAGACAATGCGCGAGAAGAAGGGCAAGGAAGCGTGTAGTATTGATGGAGGGGAGATTTATAAGGGTATTAGCATCTTTACTGTCCGGTAATGCTTCGTTTGTCCGAGCAATAATATATATATTGTAATATATATATATACACTGTGCAATATATATATATATATATATATATATATGTATATTTGAAGAAAAAAGTCCGACATTCCGTTACACACTAGCGCTTTCTTCTTTCAAAGATGAAAGCGTTAGTGTATAAAGGAATGCCAGATTTTCTTTTTTTCAAATATTAACAACTGAAACTATCGTGAAACCCAAGAACGTCGCGACTATATATATATAATAACCGTAGATCTGTAGACTGCATCGCCACTAGTTGCGTCACAATCAGACATTTATGTGATTACGATGTGTTATACAGACGTGATAATTATAACATATCGGCATCCGACTGCTTGCACGCTCGCCTTCGCAATCCGTGACCGCGGACGGATCGCGTTTTGTTTACCGGATCCGCTTTCGTGATGGCGTGTGTACTCGTTTCGCTCGTGCGTTGAGCGAGCGAGGGAGCGCGATTAGCAGACGGTAACAGCGACTAGTGGCTGAAATTGGACGAAGCTCGATCGCTATGCGAGACGCGCGCAATCGCATTATCCGGAATTGATCGCTTTGTCGTCGTTAGCAGATGAAACGGGGGGATGGATACACGGACTCACGCCAACTCGTTAACACATATTCATTCGCTTTGCGTGTCTCTCAATCTTACTTGACCTATCTTTCTATCGTCCTGTATATCTATCCTTAATTCTATCCGTCCTTCTCGCACTCACTAACTCCCCCATTTCTCTCTCCCACTCGTTCTCTATTTCTGTGTGTGTGTGTGTGTGTGTGTGTGTGTGTGTGTGTGTGTGTGTGTGTGTGTGTGTGTGTGT